CTACTGCAATATTTGTGAGTTAGTTTTCAGGTCATGTCAGGATGGTAGTGGGAGGCAAATGGGTTCAAAATGGCCTAAGCGACTCGTAGTTATAGGTGTCAATCTTATCTGATGAATGTTGAAATATCAGAGGCTCTAAGACAGCTTGCATTCACTTGCATTTTATGAGTCCTATATCAGTGGTTGTTCATATTTACTATCAGGAATACTTTCACAATGATTTAAATATATGTTAGTGAGTATAGCCTTAACCGGTTAATCCATCGTCTATACACAGGTAATAATACAGGTATATCAGACACCTATCTTACGAAAACCTTAATTGAACCAAAATAAATTCCTATACACTTTTATATATTATAACTATATTATAGATCACATTTATAACGATAAATATATTAAATTCAACCACCAAAAAATACTGCTATAAAATCATTATATATAATACACCCATCAATTAATCAAGGAGTCATCTTGATGGCTGAGGGATGGTAACCACAGCCCTCCACACCACATTCTCTCAGTCCCAGGGCTTTCTTTACCAATTCTCCCTGATATTGTAGCTTTCTGGGGACTATTTCTTTTAACCACACTCAACCATCTCTCTCTCTCTCTCTCTCTCTCTCTCTCTCTCTCTCTCTCTCTCTTGCACACACAAGCTATCGTCATATCTCTCATTTCCTCTCTATCTATCTCCTTCTCTTCTTGGTATTATCATAACTTTCCATGCTACTACCCAGCACAACTTCGACATACTCTTGGGGTGAAACATATCTGACAGGTGTTTTCCTTGTGATAAACAGATGCATGGTAATAGCTTTGACATACAGGCATATTCCTACCTAGCATACGACGACACAATTGTAACTTGAAATATATTTTAGTTCAGTTTGAGAATAATGTACATAACACTTGACTCCAAATTCTTAAAGGTTGAATTAAGGGTAAGTTGTGATGTTGAATACCTTGATGATACGGGAACATTAAAACCAAGATTATTGTCCTGTTAGAAATTTTGACTACATGTAAACACCAAAACCTAGATGACAACAAAAAGAGAGAAACTAAGACTAATGTTCCAAAAAAATCACCACATAATACAAGACACGTGAATGTGGGTATGTTCTCTTTCCGGCATGACCCCAGTATGTAAACAGTTGGGACTTATCTGCCGTCTTAAGCTTGTTCTTAATAAACACTTTGATTTTACATTTAAATTGACAAAAAAAAGGTATCTTAAATTCTATATAACAAGTAAAGGCCTGCCAAATATCGGAAGACAATGTGAAGTGAATTACGCAAAAGAGTGCCGGAACTCTATAACTGCTAACTCTAGTTAACATAAACACACGGGGGAGTTGCTGCTGTAGTATCAGAAGGCTTTATATGTCGGTAACTTTATGATGAACTGGAAAAGTCTATATCCAAAGTCCAGAGAATTTGCCCATGTACGGTTAATGATACGAACGTAATTGTACGCTCACACGTTGCTCACCATAACAACTACTTCATCAACGTTGACAAACACTTTGCATGAAATATTCCTGAAGTCTTATGACAAGTGTAATGGCAAACGACAAAATAAAAATTAATTAATCTGAATAACTCTCTTTACTCAACTGCCACAGTAGGTGAGTTAACATTTATCATTACACAGCTCTGAGGTTCATCAGCGACAACATTCATTAAGAGAAAGTTGTCGTTCTTGACAGCTGTCTTCTTACATGTAAACAATACATCTTTTACCTCATAAATTTTTCCAAAGAAATAAAATATTTTACAGCTACATCACCACTACATATTCCTCTCTACCTGATGATGCATGTCAATACAGAGGCTAACATATAACAGACAAGTGTTTCTGGTATCAGAGTCAGAAGACGTGTTTGACTCAAGTTCATGTTAGCTTCCCGTGGTCCTCTTGGTTCACCACTGTATTTGGGAGGACTTTACCTCCTGGACCAACTACTACAGGTATTCATCACAACACGCGGTGACATATGAAGAATAATAAGACGCTTCATTTAATAATTAACTGTTGATTATGGAACAGTTTATGACAATACATAGATTTTATTTACGACATTAATTACGACTTTTTGCCTTGTTTGGTGCACTCTCCAACATACTGTACGAAGAAAACAAATATATCGATAAAATTATATAGTCATCCGTGCTGTAAGCTCCACAAATTACTGCACCTAAGATGAAACTACAAGCCTTTCATCAATAAATATTTTGTTTAATACCGAGAAAATAAACCACACATATAATAAATTAAGCGTTACTAATAAACTCTTGCACTGAACATCACAAGCTATCGCATCCAACCTGTGTTCGTACACCACTGATAACGTATTACAGCGATAACGTCAAGCACAGTGACGTTATAGATACCACCACCAAGTTCTTTATATAAATAACCTGATTATGGATAACACACAAGCCAATTATTTTCCTGTTGAATTATATATTTCCAAACATCTGTATATTAAAAATTCTATCACCTGTCATAACTAGTCACCCATCACCTGTCATAACTATTCATCCATCACCTGTCATAACTAGTCACCCATCACCTGTCATAACTATTCATCCATCACCTGTCATAACTAATCATCCATCACCTGTCATAACTAATCATCCATCACCTGTAATAACTAATCACCCATCACCCGTCATAACTAATCATCCATCACCTGTCATAACTAATCATCCATCACCCGTCATAACTAATCATCCATCACCTGTCATAACTAATCATCCATCACCTGTCATAACCAATCGTCCATCACCCATCATAACTAATCATCCATCACCTGTCATAACTAATCATCCATCACCTGTAATAACTAATCACCCATCACCTGTCATAGCTAATCACCCATCACCTGTCATAACTAATCATCCATCACCCGTCATAACTAATCATCCATCACCTGTCATAATTAATCATCCATCACCTGTCATAACTAGTCATCCATCACCTGTCATAACTAATCATCCATCACCTGCCATCACTGTACAAAATATTAGTAACTACAAAACGAACGTAAAATCGATAGTAATGTTTTATGAGTAACATCGTATTAATGCTTTTACTTTGCATCTTCCAAGAACAGGGGAGGGAGAGAGGAAGGGGCGGGGGGACGGGAAGGGAGAGCTTATGTTGTCAGCTCGGCGTCTGCGTCTGCTTCAGCGTCTGCGTCGCACCTGGCTGGGTAAACACCTAGATCGATAATACTTGGAAAGATTCACAATAACGTGAACTTCAACTTACTGTATATTCACAAATGGAGGGGACGCCAGTAGGCAATAAAACTGTACTGTGTTTTTTTAAATATAAACTTCAGTATTTTTTAATATGCTCTCCTCTCTCTCTCTCTCTCTCTTACTCTAGGATCAATTTGTACCGATTCTGATACCTGCCGAAGAAGTAACATTTATTAGTATATTTGCTAAAGTTTATTACATGTTACGTACAGTTATCGGGCGCAATGTGGCTCGGGGGTCCTTCTGACAGCTGACGACGCTTCTTTTACTCCTTATTAACGCTACATAGAGTTTTCGTCTCGTGTACAGGATATATTGTGTGTTATCCGTATTTTGTATATATTTCACTGTAATTTCTACGAACATGAGGTTATAATAGAACTGGTAAACCCTCTTATATATTTCTTTTAATTCACGAAATCTGAAGCTAGTTTGTATGTTATCCAATAGCAGTAGCAGTAGTAGAAATAATAATAATTATAATAATAATAATAACAGCAAAAAGAAATAATAATAATAATAACAAGAATAATAACAACAAAAGAAACAACAACAATAATAATAATAAGTACAACAACAACAGCAACACTACATGATCAAGGGACACCATAAGTAAACAAACATGTTATTTCAGGCTGTAATACTTATTATAGCTGAAAATTAGTTTACGCAACAATTTAGTGAGTTTACTCCGAAGAGTGAGTATGTTTGCCACGTTTCCACCGCCCCACTTAAGATCAAATGACATCAAAATTAAGCCTGAGTATTATAGTTCCTTAATAACACATCATTATGCTCTTATATTCTTAATGGTCTTCACTTTCTTAATAGATAAAACTTACAGGTTAATTAGACCACTCGGTGACTAGACCTCTCTCCAACATACTTCATCTACAGATGAACTATCCTAATGTAAATATAACCTAACCTAACCAACCTAACATAGCCTAACCTTACATCATTTAACATAACCTGACACAACATAACGTAACCTAATATTACCTAACCTAACACATGACCTAACCTAACCTAACCAACCTAAGATAGCCTAACCTTACATTATAGCCTAAATTCCCTAACATAACCAAACCTAACGTATTCTAACCTAACGTATTCTAACCTAACGTACTCTAACCTAACCTAACCTGAAATTACCTAATATAACTTAACATTAATCAATCTGACCTAACAAAACCTGACCTGAACCTGACCAACATGAATATTTTAGCGTACTTTAACCAGTGAGGGAAGAGAACCTTGGTCTTTCATCAAGTGTGTGTGTGTGTGTGTGTGTGTGTGTGTGTGTGTGTGTGTGTGTGTGTGTGTGTGTGTGTGTGTGTGTGTCTTTGTCTCAGGTGTCTATGTACAGTGCTATATATTTGTACTTTAGGTCGGGTCTTGCTGCAGCTGTCGTAATTTTTGGTTGATGTAGAAAGTCGTGCGTGGCAACTCCTTCCCTGTTATCATACCTGTGATTAATCATTTCTCTGTTTATCAGTGATTCACCTTTATATATATATCGTTGGAGTGTATCAATTAATAAAGTTGATGTATTTAATTACCCTCAAAATGTAGCTATGTTTAAGTGTAAGTTTATGTCTTAATATTTAACAAGACACCCAAGGTTGTTACGGACTCCATGAAACATTTCTTGTCACTATCAGCACCACCATATCGTTCTTATCTATGTCGTGTTATCAAGTAAATAACTCTGTTGCTGGAGGTTCTTATCAAGTCGTTGTGGGAGTTATAACTGTGTTCTGGTGCGGCGTCACACTGGTTTTTGGTGTAGTCCTTACTTGGTGGGCGTAGGAGTAAAGGATTACAGGTGCTCCTTTACAACAGTGGTCAGGCAGTGTGAGTGTACTAAAAAGACCACAACATCAGCGAGAGGAACAGTGAGGCAGGTGAAGGAGAGGTCGTGGCATGGGTGATCTACTTAGATATGACTACTGTCCACTGCGCACCTTCTGGGTAGTTGTTGTGTAGAAAACAACACAAACTATTTCCGAGAGATCGATCAGAACTGGGAGAAGGTTTCTGAGAGAGCCTCTTCAATTTAGTATTAACACAGGTGACCTTAGCCATGAGGACCAAGGCTTGGGGGGCACCTACAGCCACACACAGCAGACAGCAAGTCCCTGCACGAACACTTGGCGTGATGGCGTCGACAAGAGGACAGTTTCGACCCTTCAGCTACAAAACACAGGCAGTGGCGACCATCTTCATTATTTTCATCACAGTCTCTTCTTCCGCGGCACAGGGTGAGTTACGCATCACAATCTTTTACGTTCTCCACAAATGGGGGGAATTAAGCTTCTGTTTACATTGCCACTGCGACATATATCCTCAGGAACTCCAAGAGAGAGGCAGGAGGAAGTGGAATGAGATTATCGCGCACACCTGAAGTAGATAACTAGGTGAGGCTCAGAACATAACAACATAAGAACATAAGAATGGAAGAAACTGCAGCGGGCCTATTGGCACATACTGGGCAGTCCCGTTTACACCCAACCCCTATCTATCGCTCATATATCCATCCATCCTATGTTTGAAGCTATCCAGCGCATTCGAGTTAATGATGAAGTTTGGTAACTTGTTCCACTCATCCACTACTCCATTTCCAAACCAATATTTACCTATCTCGCGCCTAAATCTAAATTTGTTCGCTCGTGGTTGGATAGTTTGATTACCTTTGTTATATCACCTTTGTTTCGCCCTGACTTCCATTTATACACCTCGATCATATCGCCCCTCACTCTCCGTCTCTCGAAGGAATGCAAATTAAGATGCTTTATCTTGTCTATGTACTCAAGGTTCCTAATGCCAGGGATTAGTCTTGTCATTCTCCTCTGAATTCTTTCTTGGGATTCTATATCCATTCTGTAGTACGGTGACCAGGACTGAACTGCGTAATCCAAGTGAGGTCTCACAAGCGCAGGATATAGATTTAGGATGACCTTGCTAGTCTTGTAACTAACACTCCTTTGTATGAACTCAATTATTTTGTTACCCTTGTTTCGAGCAAATGCACATTGATGACTTTGCTTAAGATTCCTACTTACCATTACTCCTAATATAAATCTTTCTCGCTGTCGGATTTCTATATAACAACGTTGTTCATCTAATACTGGTTTCTCTGTTTTCATCTAGACTAAGTACTTTACATTTGTCCACATTAAATTTCATCTGCCATTTTTCAGATCATGCAAAATATTTGTTTAGATCTTCCTGTAATATTGCGGAGTCCTCGTCAGATTTAATTACACGCCCTATATTAGTGTCATCAGCAAATTTACTTATATTGCTGTCTACGCCTCTATCTATGTCATTTATGTATATAATAAATAATAATGGTCCAAGTACTGAGCCTTGGGGTACTCCACTAGGGACGTTACCCCAATCAGATTTAGTGACGTTAATGCTCACTCGCTGTTTCCTGTCCTGTAACCACTCCCTAATCCATTTTAGAATAACTCCTCCAATTGCACGAGCCTCCACTTTTCGTATGAGTCTTTCGTAAGGGACTCTATCTGAGGCTTTGCTAAAGTCGATATACCACATCATAATCTTGCTCGTCGTCCACTGATTCGAAAACAGTTGAAAAAAATTATAATTATCAATCAGACATGAACGCCCACTTATGAAGCCTTGTTGGGAATCATTGATCAACATGTACTTCTCCAGGTTATTTCGAATAGATCTCCAGCGTCGACACATTTGACCAACACCAAGTATTACCAGCAGAGTCCTCGACGACACACACACGCTCACTCACTCACACAAGAGATTTAACAGTGATATAACCTTTTTCCTTTTGTCTATGTACTTCCCACACGTATTAACCCTTAAGAGGCAGGGATTTCTCTCTGCTGAATAAACTCGTCTGAGTGTTAGACAGAGTAAAATATCTAAGTGCGCCGCTGCCCAACAAAGGGTAATCGAGATAGGACCTATAAGCAGGAAAGGTTCAGTGATTCATGTTTCTGATACCACTTCTTTTACTTAGAAGTATCATACAAACACACACACACACACACACACCAATGACAGTTTTGTGCTAACCCTTAAACCCTGAGAAATAGTGTGTGTGTGTGTGTGTGTGTGTGTGTGTGTGTGTGTGTGTGTGTGTGTGTGTGTGTGTGTGTTTTACCTATTACTATACAGTAGAACATACGGGAGGCTACCACTCCTCAGTATCTCGTCCCTCAAATTCATAAAGTGATCCAGTCTTGTCTGAAGAAATTACTTAAAATCCCCACACTCACTACAATGAATTGTCTATTACCCCATTACTAAAAGGAATATATTTATTAAAAGAATATATCGGTTTTTCAGGCCCCTGTACCCCAGCTTTCAGAAATCTCTTCCTTCTCAAATCATTTTATTTATTCCATTTTTTGTTGGTCGTAATAAGATCGCCTCTTCCCTCTTTTTACTTTTTACGGGAGGCAATTGCATTATTTTCAACCAATCATAACAGCCCCACCAGTTACGACACCATTATTGTTGTCGAGTTTCCACAAGGATATTACCAACACCGGGGCTCAAATGCGTAGTATAATGTTTGTTGAGCATATTGGTGTTTATAAACCTGGCCGATATCCTTATACTTGGCAGTACAGCACAAACATCTCTCGCATCTTACCCCATTCTTGAATATCCCAATATCTTTCTCACACAATAATTCCTCTGTACCCCCTCTAAGTTAATGCTTACTTTCTGATCTCTTTTTTCTCAGCACACGACTCTTCCTTGTATATCATCCATTTATCTTGCCAAGAGGCCGGGGCATCTGTACCTTCCTCTGCAATGCTTCACAATCATCCATGTCACCAATTTACAACCATTAATTTTGTGTCACCTGCATACTTGGTAACGTTTGGTATCATTTCCTGTAGTAGGTCATTGGCATATATCAAGAACAACTTAAGTCCAAAAGAGAGCCTTGCGGTACTCCTACTATGACTACCAAGTCATAAAGATAGTCTCATCATACTTCCATTTCAATATTTCCTAATCCATCTTCCACCTCTCTAGTGATATCAGCTTCCGTTTATATTTTCATGAATAATCTATTACGTGGCGATGTGTCGAGAGCTTCTGTAGAGTCTTAATAAATACTATCTGCTCATTCATCAAAGAACTCCATCGAGGAACAACACATCTCTGTCTGTCCTCATATATCGTAAGTCATCGATAGGTTCCAATACAATTTCGTGAATTACTATTTTTTCTAAAATGATTCCCATTAAATCAATGGTGTGTGTGTGTGTGTGTGTGTGTGTGTGTGTGTGTGTGTGTGTGTGTGTGTGTGTGTGTGTGTGTGTGTGTGTGAGAGAGAGAGAGAGAGATTTCTTCCTAGATGACGAAGATATTAACAATGATTTCTGTGCATGTCACTGATGCTGCTTAACAGTGACTACTTAATGAAGGGTCGTGTTCCCCCCTGAGAGTTAATTTTATGTAGTGCATTCCTAACTTACTCTTTCAGATGACTGTTACTCACACATCAATGTCAGTGAAGGACATGAGTTAGAAGGTATCTCTCCTAACTTAATTTTGAGGGTCAATGTGGAGGAGACAACACCTAAGGACACGCCACTGTATGCCTTGACGGTGGACGAGGACGTGACTATGACACTCCCTGTTGATGAAAATTTCATCAAATATTTCTCGATGGACAAAATAACAGAGAAGTTAAGCATCGGAGTCAAAACGTCTTTAATTGGAGTCCCTGATTATCCCATCAATACGGTGAGTAATACAGTATGAAGACCATCCCCCCTCATAGTACTACTTGTTAAACTGTGGATTTAAATTTTGGGTCTAGACAAATAAGCTTTTTTCCATCACTTATAATACTTGTAATACAAATAATTAGATGAAGAAGTTTCTTGGACAACAGACACTACTCAGGGGACCGTCATGTGTGCACTGTAAGATGCGAGTCACACCTTTTGGGCTGACTACAAGCGCTATTATTTCCCCTCTTTGTATCTTTCAACAAAAAATACAGAGAGGACTGCCAAGTGACGAGCTCTTAATCCGCTGTGCTTAATTTATAAAGAACTATAAATATAAACATTATTCATAGTTGCTGTACACCAACCTAAGAACTGTTCTTGAATATGTTTGATGCGTCAGTCATCTTCCTAACCCCATAAACTGATAATACAATGAGACATACAGGCGTTGTCACAGTTGTTAAGGATACGTATACTACTGTATATCCCCACGAGGAGAAGAACTAACATCAAACTACACAAAACTACTTATCCTTTAAAGTAATGTTTAGTTTTTCATGTGTGCTAAGAGGGCGCTTGGAAGTCCTGTATACACTGCCCAGTTCACTCTATTATATACAAATCAGATGGTGATAGGAAGGACAGCCAGCCGTGAAAACTGCTTCAAATTTGTCTGATGGGGACCGGGACACCATGCCATCAGGTAATCACGGCTAACCCAAGGAAGCATTGAATCGGTGATGATGATGATGATGATGACGATGGTGATGATGATGATGATGATGACGATGGTGATGGGTAACAGCAGCATAATATACCTGCTAGAGGACCTATAGTAATGACCTATAACTAAATTTCAGCATTTCCCTATTTCTCCGTCTTTCTGTTGATTCAAATGTTCAAGTAATTTCTCTCATACTGATGCAGACGATTTAGTAACAAGCAGATTCAGTATCACTTCATAGCTACAGTTCCTGGCACACTCGTCACCGCCCACCTTCCTGCTGCACGTGTCCGCCTCAAAAACATGTTACTATTTCTACTCCACATGTTCACTATTTGCACAAACGACCTGAACTAATCAAAAGCTAACTAACGCATGAATAATTTATATGGCGCAAATATAATCGACTAAGTTGAATCATGCAGTGTACAATACATGCTATTATGGAGTAATATTATTTATAATACAATGTACAGCACCTGTATGTAGCCTGTAGGATGATTATGTCTGCTTTATATATCAATAGTAACAAGTGGACTACGAAGCTGATAGTCCTAAATCTCGACTTTTAGTGTTGCAGCTCGTGTTGTTTTACGCTAGGTAAAATACTCCACGACACGGCAAGTATTTAGGCATATTTAATCCAGGTGTGCTGCTGTAGGTAGAGTTACCAGGGGAATCTACCTATTAGAATCTCTTAAGTCCTAAAAATTCCTTCATTACTCGGCACTTCAGCATAAAAACAACAAAAAACATTGAGTTTCTCCCATAGATAATCGAGACTGATGTTTACATTGTGTATTTCAGAAAAGCATAATTGGTACGGTGACATTTGGTGATTTCTCCGGCGGTATAAAAGACGTAAGTTTTGTAGTTTTTACAGTGTAAGTGAACATGGCGACTGTAGGATAGAGAACCAATGATGAGAACAGTAGTGTGAAGTACAAGTGATCATTACAACTGTGTGACTATAACAGATGTAAAGCACAAGTGACCAACATCATTCATGTACAGTGCAAATGACCATAACGGTGTAATATTCAGTACATGTGATCCCTATAGCTGTAGTGTCAATTACAAGTACTCATGGTTATCGTAGTGTACAGAAAGGGCGACCAACATAGCTGTGAAGTAAGTAGGATACCTGTAAATACTCATGACAAACAAGCCTACAGTACAAATGGTCATGAAAGCTGCAGTGTGCAGTAAAAGTGGTAATGGCAGCTGTAGTGTACAGTAAAAGTGGCCATGGCAGCTGTACTGTACAGTACAAGGTCATGACAGCTGTAGGGCACAGTAAAAGTGGTCATGGCAGCTGTACTGTACAGTAAAAGTGGTCATGGCAGCTGTACTGTACAGTACAAGGTCATGACAGCTGTAGGGCACAGTAAAAGTGGTCAAGACAGAGTCAATATACAGTGAAAATTACTGCTTTTGTGTACAATATAGATGAACAATATAGTGGGCTGTACATTACAACTGGCTACGACGGTAGTACTGTGCAGAAAACTGTAAAATTCACCAGAATAATTTTAGTGCAAAGTGCGGCTGAACAAGCAAGTCTTCTCGTGTGTGTGTGTGTGTGTGTGTGTGTGTGTGTGTGTGTGTGTGTGTGTGTGTGTGTGTGTGTGTGTGTGTGTGTGTGTGTGTGTGTGTGTGTGTGTGTGTGTTGCTGTTTTTAGCGTTCATTGTGTAAAGTGTTTCATGTGTTGATTTTAAGCAACAGGTATATTTAGGAAACATATAGTAAATACAGGTAAATCTTTCATTGTGGATAAACCAAGTTTCTCAAATATACAGGTAAATCTTTTGTATAATATATATATAGTCTATACATCAGATGTTAGAGAGCAGATATACATATTTTGTTATAGAGGCAAAGCTTATGTATAACATATAATCGCCATATATAGCCAAATTATTAAACACAAAAGGAAGTGTTTTCATGTTATATAAATACAGGTTCTTATGGTGTATGTTTCATATTGACCACTGACTGTGTTGGTGGTGGCAGTGTACGGTGCAGATGAGTCACAGCATCCTGGACGAGAACACTAAGGCGCCCGAGTTCACCCAAAACACCTACACACTCAACATCCGTGAGGACTACCCCGTCCAACTCGAGATCTACAACTTGGAGGTGAGTTGATCCTTGTTACGTAAGATAAGCACAGCAGGGTTGGTGGGGTACAGCACTAGGCACAGCCAACAGCAGGGCTGGTGGGGTACAGCACTAGGCACAGCCAACAGCAGGGTTGGTGGGGTACAGCACTAGGCACAGCCAACAGCAGAGCTGGTGGGGTACAGCACTAGGCACAGCCAACAGCAGGGCTGGTGGGGTACAGCACTAGGCACAGCCAACAGCAGGGCTGGTGGGGTACAGCACTAGGCACAGCCACAGCAGGCTGGGGTGCAGCACCGGGCACAGCCAACAGCAGGGTTGGTGGGTACAGCACTAGCACAGCCAACAGCAGGCTGGTGGGGTACAGCACCGGGCACAGCCAACAGCAGGGCTGGGGTGCAGCACCGGGCACAGCCAACAACAGGGTTGGTGGGGTACAGCACCAGGCACAGCCAACAGCGGGGCTGGTGGGTGGCACCAAGGCTGCCACAGCAGGGTGGTGGGGTACAGCACTGCACAGCCAACAGCAGGGTTGTGGTGGGGACAGCACCGGGCACAGCCAACAGCAGGGGCTGGTGGGGTACAGCACCAGGCACAGCCAACAGCAGGGTTGGTGGGACAGCACCGCACAGCCAACGCGGGCTGGTGGGCACATACACAGCCAACAGCAGGGCTGGTGGGCACAGCACCAGGCAAGCCAACAGCAGGGCTGGTGGGGTACAGCACCGGCCAAGCCACAGCAGGGTTGGTGGGGTACAGCACTGGGCACAGCCAACAGCAGGGCTGGTGGGGACAGCACCGGGCACAGCCAACAGCAGGGCTGGTGGGGTACAGCACCGGCACAGCCAACAGCAGGGCTGGTGACCAGGCACAGCCAACAGCAGGGCTGGTGGGGCAGCACCGGGCACAGCCAACAGCGGGGCTGGTGGGGTACAGCACCGGGCACTGCCAGCAGAGTGGTGGGGTGCACTTGGCACAGCCAACAGCAGGGCTGTGGGGTACAGCACTAGGTACACCAACAGCAGGGCTGGAGTACAGCACTGGGCACAGCCAACAGCAGAGCTGGTGGGGTACAGCATCAGGCACAGCCAACAGCAGGGCTGGTGGGCAGCACGGGCACAGCCAACAGCAGGGCTACAGGCATCAGGCACAGCCAACAGCAGGCAGGTGGGGGCACAGCACCGGGCACAGCCAACAGCAGGGCTGGGTGGGGTACAGCACCGGGCACAGCCAACAACAGGGCTAGGGGGTACAGCACTGGGCACAGCCAACAGCAGGCTGGTGGGGTACAGCACCAGGCACAGCCAACAGCAGGGCTGGTGGGGTACAGCACTGCACAGCCAACAACAGGGCTGGTGGGGTACAGCATCAGGCAGCCAACAGCAGGGCAGGTGGGGTACAGCAGCACCAGGCACAGCCAACAGGTGTGGGACAGCACCGGGCACAGCCAACAGCAGGTTGGTGGGGGTACAGCACCTGCACAGCCAACAACAGGGCTGGTGGGCAGCATCAGGCACAGCCAACAGCAGGGCTGGTGGGACAGCACTAAGCACAGCCAACAGCAGGGTTGGTGGGGTACAGCACTGCAGCCAACAACAGGCTGGTGGGGTACAGCATCAGGCACAGCCAACAGCAGGGCTGGTGGGGTGAGCACAAGCACAGCCACAGGCTGGTGGGAAGCAGCACCAGGCCAGCCAACAGCAGGGCTGGTGGGGCACAGCACAGCCAACAGCAGGGTTGGTGAAGACCAGCACAGCCAACAACAGGGCTGGTGGGGTACAGCACCGGGCACAGCCAACAACAGGGCTGTGCACAGCACAGGCACAGCCAACAGCAGGGCTGTCAGGAGCAGGTGGTGTGGGGTACAGCACTGGCACAGCCAACAGCAGGGTTGGGGTACAGCACCAGGCACAGCCAACAACAGTGGGGTACAGCACCGGGCACAGCCAACAGCAGGGTTGGTGGGTACAGCACAGGCACAGCCAACAGCAGGGTGCTGGTGGGGTACACTAGGCACAGCCAACAGCAGGGCTGGTGGGCACAGCACCAGGCACAGCCAACAACAGGGCTGGTGGGGTACAGCATCAGGCAGCCAGCAGC